GTGGGGATGTCATAGTAATGCACCTTCATACATGGAGTAAAGGTCACCATCACAAAGTAATTCTTAACAATAACAACAACCGTAATGCTTTAGCATTAAAACACCATAGACTGTAAATATAAGGAAAACACAGACACTCATCATCGAGGTCACAATATCAATCGATCCAGCAGAGGCCAAACACAGAAGATCAACAAAATATATGACATAAATGAACTTACCAAAGCTGAAGGCTCACTTGGAAAGAAAAGCGGCACGGCGGTCCTTCCTCTGACAGAATGTGTCTATCACTTTGGGGATGAAGTCCTGTAGTTGCTGGATCAACTGGCTTTCAATTGAAAGCATGGCCAATGCGTTAAGTCGCGGCTGTCCCATGGTGTTGCGAGTGAAAGTCTTTATCCTTTTGAGGGTGGAAAAGTTCCTCTCTGACTCGGATGTCGTCATCGGAGTTGTCACTATTATTTTGACCAAAATAACAGTCTCAGCAAACGTATCATCCAAGTTGTTCTCGTGAATGGATTTCAACAGAGACAGGGCAGTGTTTCCAGTGTGAAGCTCACTGTGGCGGTAGAGCGTGGTCAGCTCAGACTTCAACTTCTCCTTGTTTCCCAACGCAGGCCACAGTTTCACGGCGCAGTCAAGCTCAGGTGTAGGAAATGACAGGACATGCTGTGGGAAGAATGAGCTGTCAACAAGCTTTGCAGCGATCAAATGGTCACTCTGTGAGAACCTCTGTTCCACCTGTGAGATGACTGTGTCACAAGCCTCCTTCATCACCAGCGCTGTGCTGCTGACTCGTCGGCCTGGCTCGTCTGTTCCATCATGAGCAGTGGCGGCCAATGCATCAGTTTTCTGCCTCATTTTCTGAACATGTTCCTTGAAACGGCAGAGCGCGCTGTTGATCCCAGGTGCATCGATGCTTCGTTTTTGCAGAGTGTTGTATAGAACATCCACTTCTGGCATAAGCAACGAAAAAAACTCCAGGAGCTGCATAAATGCTCGGTCCCGCAGTTTCTTTGACAGGCCGTATGCCTCACTTATGGTGACCGCATCCCATCCTGGTTGTGCGCGTATATGCTTCATACACTGAAGTAGTGCATCTCGGGTCTCCCAAACCGCGTTCACAGTTCTGCTTTTAAAGTTCCATCTCACAGCCGGTGGCCGTGGGATGCGTCTCTGTGTTGCCTCTGCAAGAGCTGCAACACGTTTTGGAGCACCGGAGAAAAAAGTGGAAAAAGCAGTTAGATCTGCAAAAAACACCTTCAGGATGCTCATCCTTGCTGAACACAGTTGCTGCAGGGTCAGGTTCAGTTGGTGGGCGTAGCAGTGAACAAACTGAGCGTTTGGGTACGTCTCCTTCATCACCGTCTGTACCCCGCGCACGTTACCGCTCATGACGGCCGCCCCGTCATAGGTCTGAGCGTTTAGCTTTTCTTTCAGCTTCAGGGGTTCCAGAACAGCCTTGATGCTGTTAGAGAGACCTACACCAGTTTTGTCCTTTACTTCCACAAACTCCAAAAAACGCTCTGTAACTGTGAGGTCAGGCATAATGTATCGCAGCACAATCACCATTTGCGATTTACAGGAGACATCGGTTGTCTCGTCGGCCTGAACGGCAACAAATGATGTGTTGTCCACTTGCTTGGCTATTCCCTCCCTGTACACATCATACATGCAGTCCAAGAGTTCATTCTGTATGGTGCTTGATGTCCCTTTGAAAACAAGCTGAGCTTCGTAGTGCCGTTGAAGCCTGGAATCGCCCTCACACATTGTCTCGAAAATTGACCTGAATATCCCTGGATTCAGAGAGTCCGCCGACTCGTTGTGGCCCCGCAGTGCTGTCTCACATTTCCCACACAGTTTAATACAGGTGATGATCCGACCAAGCACGTACCTGTTTTCTTCCACCTTCCTATTATGAGAATCAATGCCGCGTCTGTAGGCGCTGTCAATCTGAGCTGCAACATTCACCCTTCCAAGTAATCCCAATTTTACGGCATTTTCCAAATGACTGTTGCTGCTCTCATGCTTCATTGTCCTCTCCGAAAGATGCTTTAAGTCCTTGTAACCTGTCCTCGACCAAGTACCTTGATCTTCACCAAAAAGCAGGCAAGGAAAGCAAAAGAGGGAATTCTTCTGGATGCTTGCCGTTAGCCATTTCTTTTTAGCAAACCACTCAGCGTTAAACCCACGTTTAACTTTGCCCGCAGTCTGGACCATTTGGAAATCCGGTGGATGGTGGGCACCGAGGCGCTTTACCTCCAGTTTCTCTCCGAGACTAAGTGTCTCAAATGTGTGCTCCAGTAAATGGTCAACTTCATTCATTTTCTTTCAGTTTTTTACTTCTTTTAATCGCTGGTGAAGTTAGCTATATGCTGCTCTCTCGTCTCCTCTTCAAACTACACGTGACGTTTCGCAGCACTGCACACGTGAGTACTTACAGCCAATCAATTCTGAATTATGTGAGATGACGTATGGTGGGGATGGCAGCACTATGCCCCTACGGTCATTATTTTTTTGCCACACACATTAAATAGAAAAATACTCTGAGCATGCGCAGTGTAGTTTTTACAATCACCGTTCACTTAGACCAGGGGTACTCAAATACAAATCTTAAAGGTCCAAAATAAATGTTTCAATAAGACAAAGGTCCGTTTATCACGGTCATTCAAACTTTTAAACAATTACAACAAGATTCTTAACACGAGGTTGCAAAAACAAAAAAAATCTGTATGCAGCAGTTTTCATTGTTATTGTGTCTGTGCTTGACCCCTCAGAGTCGCAGTGTAAGAGCTGCACAGTTATGAATAAAGGCAGCTGCACCCTCTTTCATTCAGCATTCCCATTATTGCTTTATAAATGTATTCCCCCTTGTGTGTCCACTGAGGTTCGTCAGGCCCAACACATCTTCAACAAACTCCCCCTTTGCCTCATCATAAAAACTCAAAAACACCAGCAACTGAGCATTGTCAGTGGTGTCAGTGGACCCACCCACAGCTAAGGAAATGCACTGTGCATTTTTTATTCCATCACAAAGCTGATGAATCAAATCACCAGCCAGTATTTATGTTCTTCTGGTTGCTGTGGAATCTGAGAGGGGGATTTGCTTGATTTGACCTGTTATTTCCTCTTTTTGTTTGCCTTCAACATGGTCTCCATCACTTCAGTCATGCATTCTTTTATACTCAGTTATTATCCAGTGGAAAGTCCTTACCTACTGGCTTAGTTAAATCAAAGTGGTTACTTTCTGTTGGCTGGGCAGTGTAGTTTTACACAACGTCTTATTTGACTTTCTCAGGACTTAAAACAGTTTTTTGGGGGCAGACCCCCTCAAAGAAAAAAATATATTTACACACGTAAGGTCATCATCTTAATAGTTGTGTATGCTCATCCGTGAGCAGAGCATCAAGTTGGCATGTCTATTACAGCTGAATGCGGCGATTACCATTTTGTTCAGCAAAACGCCTCACAAACGTATTAAGATCAACAGCTTTAGTGCGTTTTGATTCAATGCTGAGTACAGCCACACTGACAGTCTCTTCTCTGTCAGTGTAGACCTCAAATACCTCATTCCTTCAGTGCTTGGGTCCGAATGCTTCTCGTTTTGCGCCGTCCAGTTCAAAATGAAATCGCCGCCAATCGTATGTCCACGCTCGCGCCAGGACCGGGGGAGGGGTTACATGATGTGCATCTTGTGCTGCATTCACTTGCACTCGGACATTAGAGACTTTCTCTCATAAATGTCCGATGAGCCACAACTTTTCTTTCAAAACAAAGCTGCCAACTGGGGTGGCAAGGCCTATTTTTAGGGTGTCAGTTGCCACCCCGGTAGGTGAAACTAGGCTACTAGCTACAGTACAGATGGAACTAGATGAGCTGTTAACTCTCGCTCTGAATTTATTTATTTTAAATTCTCGCTCTGACTTAGACAGGTTGAAAGAGACACACACATTTTTCCCACCCGCATTCCGCGAAGACCCGCCCTACTGTGCCTCTGATTCGCAGATTGTTTGGGGGGAAAAAAACGCTGACTGGATGCTGAATGTGATTGGACCAAAGCGTTGACACACACAGGTGGAACACAGTGGAACAGTCAGACATGCAGAGCGCTGTTTGCAGTGGACATAGCGGATAATTTTGACTCGTTGCGAATGCGTTGTGGCGATGTCTCACATATAATACAGAGAGATCATACATATGAAAAGTATAATTTGCTCAGAGTCCGGAGACAGTGGTGGTTCGGTCCGGATCCGGACCGGAGTCCGTAGTTTGAGGATGCCTGACTTAGACTGTGAGAGGGAGGGGCAGGATCGGGTTTTGTCCCACATGGCTCTAAACAGCTCAAAACGGCACTCTAGACACTAATTAGAAGAACAGACTAAAACAGAAATGTACAGACGAATCAGATTATTAAACATGACCTTAAAATATATTTTATATGTTTTTTTATTTATTTTTTTGTATTTTTTTGTAATCATTATTTGTAATACTTTCTTCTGACACTAGGTGGGGCTGTGCCCCACCTGCCCCTAATGACCCGCCGCCACTGTATGTATGTTACTTTGATGTATTGTATGCAAAATCCACCATTGTCCTGAAGTATACTTTTATCTGCAATACTGTCTGTGTTTTTTTCTTCTTCAAAAAACCGGAAAATTAAAAATAAAGTTACAAAAAAAGGTTCTAATTCAAACAGTGTTTTAAAAATAAGCAGCAAAAACATAAACTACTCCTCACAATAAATATATTATATAATATTGTCTGAATCTTAACAGCAATACTGCACATTGAGCAACCTATAAACTAATGAATTCCCTTAAATGCGGATCATATACAAGATTATTAACGACATTTAGTTGTAGTGCAAGAGCAACACACATGCCTTAAATGTGAGAAAATGAGTTAGACATTTCACTGATTTGAGAAGTTTAATTTGAGGATTAAGCAGACTGTGAAACTGATATGAAGCACTAAATTACAATGAAATTACACACATTTTCTTATATTTGCACTTTTTCCTTTTTATTGGCTTTTTGTTTTACAAAAACAGGTACGACAGAATGCATAGGCCGAGCCACACGCACAGACGGCTCATCGAAGACAACACGGAGAGAAAGAAGGGCGTCAGGAAAAGGCAACGATTTCTTTTAAAAAGATAAAAACAACACTGTTTGCTGCTATTCTTCTGAACGCATACATACTCCCATTGTCTCATTTACACGACAAGACACGACAGAATGACATACGATTGTCATTTGAGCAAACACACATGGAACACACACACACTTACTGGCACACAATGCAAACAGGTGCAAAATAAATCATGACGCAGGTAACGATGCATCAGAAACACACAAGTGAAAGAGATTTAGCCAAACAGGCACTCAATATTTTTGTGAATGAGAGCCAATTGACCATTTAACCTGATGAGTGAAATCAAATATGCGTCCTGTTTATATTTCAGTGTGTGTTCGTGGCACAGTGTCAAACACCTCTGATAAGATTTGCACAATGAGGCTAATCTAACGCGTGTCGTAAAACTGAAAAGTCTTCAAATGAAAGATCTATATTTCCAGTGGAGAAGCATCGGGTGCAGTTCTATGTAATCTGAAGCACAATGGCGGCCTCGCGACAAAATTATCTGCATATTTCACCGCACTGTGACTGACATATTAAGCAGGAAGTGTTTGGATCGTGCACTGCAGCTGTTGAAGGGTTAGCATGTGTGCTAAGCCATGCTGCTGTGCTGGAAATGCAGGCTAGCTTCTCGTGTCATGTGATCACTTAGGAAAGGTTACGTATATGCTGACTAGGATAGATGTTGGGACAGCAGAATACTGTTAAAAATAAAAAACAAGAAAGCAAGTATCTTTCCATGTCATGACAAAGTACACAACACTGACGTTTTAAAATTGGTAGTAATGCAGTTCACGTGTTTCTTAAACAACAATGGAATAAGGGGGGAAATGAACAAACAGTAACTCTTCTTCTTTCTTTTTGTATACACTGGTCTGCGGTAAATTAGTGTGCGCTCATGAAGCGTTTTCCTGGCCACTTCCTCCACTCACAAGCACAACAAGTTTCCAGAGTAAACTGAAGAGGATTGTCCCTCGCCTGTAAAACTACATGAGGGAATATGAGATGAGGATTGTAGAGCAAGACGTTGACAGTGCTGTAAGAACAACACCTCGTTGTTTGAGGGAAGGAAACAACCAACAGAACAGCTCTCCTCATTTTGCATTGTGCCACTTCTGGGGAGCCAAATGCAACACGATCACTTTTTATATCAACATTACATTTTGTTAGAACTTATTTTTCACCACAACATGGGTCAGTGTTTTACTTCCTTGGCTTTAATGAAGCTCATCCTCATGCCTCTGATTTCAGTAGTTGAATTTGGGGACTTTTGACCCTCCATTTAACATTAGACGTTACTCTTCTTCTACACCGGGATAACACAAACATGCTGAATTAGAGACGTAATTTTTGGACTTTCATTTCCATAAATAATCAAGATGAAGCTATTTCGTGTAGAGCTGTAAATGCACGTCGACTCCTGCGTTATGTGGCGGGAGTATGAGATTATTTCAGATGCTGACGACCTGTAATCAAAGAACCAGTGTACGACTCTACCAAATCTTCACACAAGGCACGTCTCCCGCTCTTTGTCTGCCCTCAACAAGCCTTAGGCACAGGTTTCTCCTTCGCTAACTTGAGAGCCACCTGTCAGGTACTTTAACTCAGTCTCCAGTCTTCTACTCTCTGATGATCGCAGGGGAACACTGCACAATACTAATGTTTAAAAGAACTGAATTGCTGCTAGAAGGGGTGGTGTTAAATCCGCTAGGTAGTAAGGATTGGAATTACTTCTTTTTATATTATTAGTATTGTTAGAAGCAGAACAAGCTGTCTTCCAGAAGCACGACTGAAGGGAGAACAGAATGGAATCAAAATAAAACAATTGGACAACCATTTCTTTAGATAAACCCCCGAACCAATGACCACCGTCTGGATCCTCCTCCTCGACCCTTTGGTTATAAAACGTATTTTGACCCCCCGCCCTGTGTCAGTGGTAAAGATCACCGTCTCTGTCCTCTTCAGGCGGGGGTGCAGTCAGCTTTCGTCTCCGATCAGGGGCAGGGTTATGAGTACTAGGTATGGGAGGGGGAGAGGCTTTAACCGTTCAGGAGGTAGACCACCAGCTCGTAGGTGGAGATGACGATGGCCGTGTTGGGGATCTGTCGCACCAGGTGGGTGGTGAGGCCGCGGTACAGCGCGCGGTACCCCTCCTCTCTGGGCACTGTTCTTAAAGTCTGGAAGAAGGAGTTATACTTGGTGCCCTCCTCCCGTAGCCGGGTGCGGATCACTTCTGCAAGAAGAAGAAAGGGAGCGGTTAAAGGAGAGGAACTACTAAATCTAGCTCATACTAACTTTTATTGTAAGGTTATTTGTTGGGCCACCTGGGCCTTACCATAGATAGGGTATGAGACAAGGGTTTGCTTTTTGCAAATATATTTCTTATTCTTTTCCTAGAAGATGTACGTTTGGAGTTATACGTTTTGAGCCAGAATTAAGTTTATTGCGAAGTAGGTTTACAAATACAATAAATATGCATTGCAAAATCTCCATTTATGGCTGTGTGAAAATAGCTTTTAGCCTCAATGGAGAATGCGGGTATGTTTGACATGTAATTACTAGGGATGCTCCGATCGATTGGTCACCGATAGAGATCGGCCGATACTCACTCTCTACCGATCGATCGGTGCTCTCTAAACATGCCGATCGCGAGAGCCGATCGCATGGGCGGTGGTGGCGAAGTCCATAGGGACTTGGCTTGGCAACTGGAAGGTCACCAGTTCAAGTCCCGGAAAGACCTAGTGCTACCGAGGTGTCCCTGAGCAAGGCACCGTTCCCCACACTGCTCCCCGGGCGCCGTACATAATGGCAGCCCACTGCTCCTAACACTAGGATGGGTCAAATGCAGAGAAACCGTTTCGTTACATAGTACCTGTACTGTGTAATGACAATAAGTTGAATCTATCTATAGGACGTAAAATACATGACACTTTTCTCAGCAAACCAAGCTCGCCAAAATGGCTTCACCAGTCTGGCATTATTTTAAGGTGTCCGAAAAAGACTGTAAAATAGCGGTATGCAACGAGTGTGAAGCAGAAATCCTGCAGCTCCGCCCGCTGTGACGGACCGGTGAGCGGAGCGAAACACACAAGAGTTAGACCTAACCCACTTAGCTATTTTATCTACCTCTGGAACAAGCTACACTAGTTATACATATATTTATTCTTCACTGTCGGGTCACTCATTACTGGATCAGTGAGCTGCATGAGATACTGACAGGCTGTCAGGAGAAGGAGAGAGGGGGAGAGAGGCTTCCGCTCATTTCTCCCGTGTTATTATCCAAAGTGAATGTAAACTTGAATAATGTATTTCATTTGAATGTAATAATTAAGTTGATTGTTGTTTGTGGAAGCTCCAGTGAATGAGCCCCATTAACTGAGTTTTAAACATCACTTTAAATGGAAGATGTAAAGTGAGGTTTAAATCTTCCATTTAGGCCCCGCCCACTCGATCGGATCAGTGATTGGTATCGGCCGATACTGATTCCGGCGATCGGCCCCAAAATTGCCGATCGGAGTATCCCTAGTAATTATAGTTCTTATATGTCTATGATCACGACTCCTTATGCTGCGTTCACACTGGACATGATGCGAATATTCGCTTCATTCTAAATCGCATCGCTCTAAACGCTCGAGTTTCACCGCGGCTGTCAGCTGTGTTTACTCGCATCATTCAAACAAGACGCGCTGGCTAGGGGGCTACACCTACAACAAAATTAACATATTTTACCGTGATTTAATTGTAATACACGTTTCTAAATGATGCCGAAGTAACAACATACTGATAGTAAAAACCATGAATTAATGCTTTGACAAGTCTGCAGACAACTGCTAACAGCTAACGGCTGGTTGAACGTCAGTGACGGCAGGCTGAGATTCTCACCACTGATTGGCTACCGCGAGATCGCGTCACGTGAGTATGACGCTTGAGTTGAAAAAATTGAACTCGAGCGTTTGTCGCGGCCCCCTTCAATCGCGCCGCGGAATTCACGTCCACCGCTTCAAGCTCGCCGTCGGAGCGAATTCGCGTCTGTCCGCGTCTCTGCAGTGACTTTACATGTAATCGCGCCGCCCCCAAACATCGCATCGCGTCCGGTGTGAACGCAGCAGAAATTCTGTAGAGTTAATTGCTTTGTAATTGTTTGCTATACTAATATAATTATAAATGTTTGTTATTTGGCGATAATAGCAGCACACTGTAACCATGCTACCTGGCCATATAATTATACTGTATTGTCGTTACAGTCCACAGCTAAAATAAATCACCACACCTGGAGAAGCCTGTTTCTGTGTTCTTTAAATCGGGACACATATTCATACGTTGAGCTAACTCCCTGATGTCTTTTATAAAACTCTCACCATGAGGATAAGCTAAAGTTGTGGCGCAGGCTTTGGAGGTGGCGGCAGCGAGCATCATCCCGATGAAGTCTGACACGTCTTTGGACGTCTCCTCCTCCTCGTCCATGTTCTGCGTGGCCTTGGCCTCCATGAGGCGCCGCTTGATGTTCTCATAGATCACAAAGTGGATCACAGTCTCTGAGATGCCGGCGTAGGAAGCCGACATTCCTCTGTAGAAACCCCGCAGGCCGTCCGTCCGATACACCCGCCGCATGCACTCGAACGCACTCATCCTCCGCTCGCCCCGATTCCTGGGGGAGAAAGAGACAATATACAGTTTTAAAGCCAAGATAAATAACTTGTGTGGTGAAAAACAACTAAACACAATAACACAGACTAATATTTTCATGCCTATAATATTACAGTTTCTCTCTTATTCTTAAAAAAGACAATATTCACACTAAGCTGTTTGCATGTCTAATGAAAATGTATATTCAGCTTTTCACAAAAAATAGTCAGTTTTTCTCCGTGTAGATTGTTGAACTGCGTCTTAAAATGACGATGGAGGGTGATGGAGGTTTTCTCTAACTGTTCAAATCTGTTCATGTTTTCTGTTCCACTAACCTGTCTTTTCTTACTCTGATTTCTCTGTCGTCCAACTCTCTGTCTTTTCACCCATTTCCTTATCTTGTTTTGTTTACCGTTTCCTTTGTTTTAATGTTCTTCACAACTATATATCTGAATAATCAAAAAGTATACCAGGATGTTTTTATAATGGGTGTAACAGAAATCGAATGTTGTTGTTTTTTGCCACAGATAACACAATTATTTCTGTGGAGTGATAGGACTACACAAAGTCCCTTGATCAAGGAACAGCATAGTGCTCCAAATTGTAGTCAGCACATAAATGAAGGATGCACATGGATGTAAAGTCATGAATCTTAATGTAAAGAGAGCCTAGTGAGTTACATTAAAACCCAGCAGGAGCTCTGGTTTCTGCACACAGGTGCATAAATAGCTGCGCTGTTGTAGGAGAAGGAGAAAAAAACAAAGGACACATAACAGCAGCATGCCTTACACAAGGTATAATCTGAAATAAATGCATTGATCAGAAGACCCGAGTCACATGCATGTCTTCAAGTAAGCAGAGTCTGCTTTATCAGCTCTTTGTTTTCTGTGAGGTAATGTTATCTTTTGGGATTTTAAGGAATAAACTTCATGGCTGCAAAGGATTGAACACACCGTTGGGAAAAGGGAGATGAAGTTCTACATCAAGTGTTTTGAGAGCTGTATTTTATAGGGGTGTAACGGTATCCGTATTCGTCCCGTACCGTCACGGTTCAGACGTCACGGTTCGGCACACGCAGTCACACGACGAATACGCCTTTTTTTTACGAGTGGGAAAAAAGTCTGTCATTCAGGGCAGTATCCACTACACTATATATAATCCAGGGGGCGGTATTGCGCCTAAAAGCTGTTTGCCAGCCGCCCTTAAACAACAAATGAAGAACAAGAAGAAACACAACAACAAAATACAAGAAGAAGAAAAGTTAGTTTGGCGATTTCAGATAATACACAGGAGCTAGAACCCACCTGCTTCTTTTAAATCAGCTGTGTGGGAACATTTCGGGTTCCCTGTGGACTACAATAACGACGAAGTGTGCGAGTGGTGGATCGGACGAGGACGGTGTGTCGGCGTTGTTCGATAGCAGTGCGGTATGCTAATGGTAACACACGCCAAACATGCTAAATCATAGCTGATCCCCGCTGTTTTTAAGAAGCCAATAGACATGAGAGCCGTGAGACCAAAATAAATAACGGAAGCTTTTGGCATAATGTTTTTCAACGACTTTGCGCTCTTAAAACCCTTAAAAGCGTCAGCTAAATGCAATGTAATCTTAAAACACTTTTTTATTATTTATGATGTAATATTTTCAAGAAATTCTTTTTAGTTTTACAGCTTGATGAAACCTTTTTGTTTGACATCAGCCATTATAGATAATATGGCCACCTGAGTGTACTGTGTATGGTTTGTTTTTAACTGTTTAATACAGTTAATTATTCAGAATGTCAGAGTTCCTTATTTTTAAACTGAAACTTGCACTACTGTTCAAACATAAATAACAACAAACCTGGAATTATGCATTTGGGACTTTTTTTTGCTTTTTCTTGTTGTACCGAACCGTGACCTCCAAACCGAGGTACGAACCGAACCGTGACTTCTGTGAACCGTTACACCTCTAGTATTTTACATATAAAGCAGTTTTATGTAATACAACCAAGGAGTGTCTTTACAAAGCTACTCAGGCCCCGTCCACACGGAGGTGAAAACGAACCGATGTCGATATCAAAAAAGTTGTGGCGTCCACACTAGGGATGTTAAGATTCACCGATTCGCATCAGTGCACCGGCATAAACGTTCAAGATGCGAGTGCACCGGTTGAAAGAGTGCACATCGGCTACAGTTTGGGTTGAACTCGCGATGCATCGATTGTCGCATCTCTTTGCATCGGTAAAAACCGATTCATTCATATATATAATATTATCCACTCATCCACTCGTGTCAGCACTCTGCAGAGACGATCTTTGATCCGCCACTACTGTGCCCGAGAGCCGGGGGCACGCGTCACAGTTATCAACAAGCATGGAAGTCGAGGAGAAAGAAATACACAGCGCACCGAAAAATAAATATAAATCAAACGTTTGGCAACACTTCAGATTCTCCAAAAATGACGGACAACTTGATAAATCACAAGCAATTTGCAAACAATGCCGTGCCGCTATAAAATACACGAGCAGTACCACGAATTTAGCGACGCACCTAAAGAGGCGACATGGGGTGAATATTACGTCTGCGGCTGTCTCCCTATCCTCCTCGGATTCAGCTGAAGCTAACCCGGCTATCCCTGGCGGCAGCAAGACTGGTGAGCAGCAGCATATCACAACTTTTTTTCATGCTCCGCTGGCTAACAGTTCTACCCGCTCCAAGGCAATAACTGACGCCATCGCCTTCTTTATCTGTAAAGATATCCAGCCGTACAGTGTCACGGAGAATGAGGGCTTCCAACACCTCCTCCACATTTTGGAGCCCAGGTACCATGTACCAAATAGGAGGTTTTTGCAGAGAAACAAATCCCTGCTCTTTATGACAAAGTTACCTCATTCACACCAACGCAACTCCGGTTCAAGCTGAGAGCTAGAGCTTTTCAGGTTCAGAACCGGTTCTTCGGTTTAGCTCCGGCTCTTTTCACACTGCCCAGAGTCCGACTGGTGCTGCGTCATTGCGTCATCGTTTGCGTCATGACGTAACCGTTTACGTGCCTGCTTCATAAAGCCAAACCTCGCGGAAACCCCTCACAGCTGACACCGACAACAACAACAATGGCCGATTGTGCTCCAGCTTCCTCTGTACCTCTTCAGAAGACCAGATTCCCAGCAGGTAGCTGGTCTCTTCAGTGGACCACTGCTGCTTGTTAAGTTTCTCCATCGTTGTGTACAAACTGGATAAGCCGGCTATTTGTTGTTGTTCAGGAGTTGATCCCGGCCCTGCCCCCGCCTCGACGTAAGCGTGACGTATGCGGTGCTTTTGCTCTAGCCGGACAATTTTTTGGTGCTCGAAATTAATCGGATTCCGGAGCTAAGAGGCTGCTCCGCTGCGGTGTGAACAGGAAAACCCAGTGCTTTTCAAGCTCCAGCTCCGAACCGGCCCTGAAACAGCGTTGGTGTGAATGAGGTAACAGAGAAGAGAGTTAGTTGACTCGCTGAGCAATGCCCAAAGAGTTGCAATTACAGTTGATGGCTGGACGTCTTGCGCCACTGACTCATATGTGAGAGGGTCCCTCAGGGCTCTGTTCTTGGTCCCCTCCTTTTCTCCTTGTACACAAACTCGCTCGGATCAGTCATTAGCCCGCATGGTTTTTCATACCACTGCTACGCTGACGACACCCAATTAATTCTGTCCTTTCCCCGCTCAGAGACCCAGGTCGTCGCACGCATCTCTGCTTGTCTAGCTGACATCTCTCAGTGGATGTCTGATCATCACCTCAAGCTCAACCTTGACAAGACTGAGCTGCTCTTCCTTCCGGGAAAAGATTGTCCCACTCTTGACCTAACAATCAACATTGGCACCTCAGTTGTTTCCCCGACTCAGACTGCAAGGAATCTGGGTGTGACCCTAGATAACAACCTGTCCTTCACTGCAAACATCGCTGCTACAACCCGCTGCTGCAGATACACGCTTTACAACATCAGGAAGATACGTCCCCAGCTGACACAGAAAGCGACTCAGGTTCTGGTCCAGGCTCTCGTCATCTCACGCCTAGACTACTGCAACTCCCTCCTGGCTGGTCTACCTGCATGTGCCATCCGACCTCTGCAGCTCATCCAGAATGCAGCGGCTCGCCTGGTCTTCAACCTTCCTAAATTCTCCCACACCACTCCGCTCCTCCGCTCCCTTCACTGGCTTCCGGTAACTGCTAGAATCCACTTCAAGACACTGGTACTTGCTTACCATGCTGCGAATGGATCTGGCCCTTCCTACATCCAGGACATGGTTAAACCGTACACCCCAGCACGTGCACTCCGCTCTGCATCAACCAAACGGCTCGCTCTACCCTCGCTGCGAAGGGGACCCAAGTTCCCATCAGCAAAAACACGTGGGTTTGCTATCCTGGCTCCAAGATGGTGGAATGAGCTCCACATTGACATCAGGACGGCAGATAGCTTACACACCTTCCGGTGCAAACTGAAAACTCATCTCTTTCGACTCCACTTCGAGCGATAGAACTATTAACAAAGCACTTATATACTAATAAAGGACTGGCTTATCTAAAGCCAGTTGAGTAGCACTTGAAATGTTTTTGCTCTATGAAGCCTGATGTACTTATATGATTCTGTTTTCTTCAAGGTTGTATTTTGTTGGTCGAACGCACTTATTGTAAGTCACTTTGGATAAAAGCGTCAGCTAAATGCAATGTAATGTAATATGTCACGGTCACAGCACACTATATTGATGACAAGTGGGTATTGCAAAACCATGTTCTGCAGACCAGAGTGTTCAACGAGGCCCACACAGGAAATAATCTAGCAATGTTACTGCAAGAAGTTTGCCGCGAGTGGAAAATTGAAGACAAGAATCCAGCGTTGGTCACAGATAATGCTAAAAACATGATACTGGCTGGAGTTGATGCACAGATGGAGCCACATGTGCGATGCATCGCGCACACACTAAACCTGGCCTCCCAAAAAGCCCTGAAGGTGGACAGGGTGTCAGAGCTTCTGGTGAAAATGAGGAAGGTGGTGACTTATTTCCACAAAAGCCCAAAAGCAACTGAAGCTGGAAAAATAATTGGCATGCTTCCACCATCCTCTCTTCAGGAGATATTTGAGGAGATGGTGAGAAAGCAAGGCCGTAAAATCACATGCGACCCCAAACACATCCTGTATAGAGAGTTTGAGTTGCTGCAGAAGGTATAGATTACCAAACTATAGATTGAACAGGTATAAGTTTTCCTTTGTTCCGCTGTCGATCAAGCTGCTGAACAGTCAGAAACAATTGTGATTATGCTGTTAGGAGTTGTTGGGAGGTGCAATGTTTACAGTGTAGTTTGTGCAATCGAGAAGGTTAAATAGGGGAAGTGCATTATGTGTAAATAGGTATGGACACAATAGGGATATGTGCAATCTGACGGACACTATGCATAGGTGCAATAGGGAAAAGTGCAATATTTGATTATGTATGTGCAATAGGGATATGTGCAATAGAGAAAGTGCTGTACCTGTATGTTTATTGTTTGTTTCTTTGCCATGTGATATGTGATCTCTGTTCTGTATCTATGACTGATTGACCTGAATGTTTTATGTGTATTATCTCGATACCTCCTAAGGGAGACAATAAAGCTCTATCTTATCTTATCTTAAGCTCTCCGTGAAATGCAGGTCCAGTTACCTGCCTCACCACAAGCTAGTGCATGATGTTTCCACAAGGTGGAACAGTTCCCTGGACATGTTGGAGCGTTTTTGGGAACAGCAGCCTGCTGTGTTGAACACCCTGCTGTCAAAGAAGATAAGGAGGGGAGAAGCGATGGCCAGCCTGACAGAGGATGACATGACATTAATCCCAGAGGTCATCAAATTGATGTCCCCCCTGAAAGTAGCAACTACACTCCCCAGTGAGGAAAAAAACCCCACCATCTCAATGATCTCCCCAATCCAGACCAAACTGCGGAGGCAGTTCCAGTCAGATGAGAGCGATCATATGGTCATTTCCCAGATGAAGGAGCGATTCAGACTGGACTTTGATGGTCGCTACACATATCTCCAAGACCTCCTCCACTACGCCTCAGCACTGGATCCCCGCTTCAAAGACCTGTCTTTCCTGGATGACAATGAAACTAAGGACATGATATTCATGAGGATAACAGCAGAGGTGGTGAAGATGGATGGACAGGTAAGAATATACTACTCAATATATTGTAGCTAGTGTCTGTCTCACTTTCACTGTTATTTACCTGTGGCTTACTTAACTGACGCTTATTTGTTTAGTTTAAGGAAATCTAATAGCTCATCTGTGCTGATTATTGTCAGGCAGGGCATGGTGATACACGTAATGAGGACCAGGCAGCTGAAACAGAAGGTGACGGGAGCCCCCACAGAGAGGAAGAAGAGACAGGTTTGTTTTGATAGGAACTGTGCCAAAAGTTATAAAAGTGTATTGATTTGGAAATGGGTGTATACTATAGCATTATATAGTATTGTATGTCATCATTTTTGTAATCTAAATCTAAAAATACTCTCTTCTCTTCTTTTCCACTCCCTAGATCAGGGGTGCCCAACCTTTTTTGAACCGAGAGCTACTTTTAAAGTTGCCAGTCTGCCGAGATCTACCAGTCCAAATAGAGAGGCGTAGTTACTGACAGCCTACTACCAGGTAAATACACACTTCTACTCAGGGACGTGCACAGGTATGGGCTAATGTTGCCCGGGCAACGGCCCTTTTGAACTTTTTGGCTGACCTGCCCCTCTGGAGAGCGAAAGTCTTTTCTTTCTGTTGTGGCCGAATAAACATGATAAGCCCTCAATTAGTATTGTAGAGTCTCGCTGCGATAAAACACACCTTGTCAGCGCTGTCATCAGCCCCCAGTCACGTGACTTTGTTTACAATCTGACAGCTGAAAAGCAAAGGAAAGCCCTCTGAGTCCGACCTCATATGGCTATGGTGATCATGTGCCTGCCTGGCTTTGGTGGCCAATCCTTGGGTCAATCTGTCCCCGGAAATGTCCCCGTTTTTAAATATGCTTTTATTGATTTTGAGTTTTCTCATGGCAGTTAGAGTATAGGGGACAAACCAGGGGACTTTACTTCCTCTTGACACCGTTGGTTATTTACAAAAAAAACACCTAAATATACTTGTTATTGTGTTTCTGTCTTTCTGTGTCTTTTCATCTGCTCCGTAAACTCCTTCACCGCTCTCTCTCTTTTCTTGATCGCCCTCTCTCACATACGGGAGAACACTTCACTGTCCCGCTTCATTGTAGGATTTCTGCCATGTCTCAACTTAAGTTTGACCATCTCTGTTATTAAGTTATGGAATACTAAATAAATAAGTAATTAGATACCTTACCGGCATGTGCTCATAAAGAATGATAAGAATAATGCGTATTGAACTGGTTTAATCAATTAGTGAGTTTATTTAAGGCACAGCCGTTACAATGGTCAAACTACATTAAAACAGAATTGTCCGCATTTTGTCTTTAATAGTAACATTCGATATGTTAATGAGATATGGACCGCAAAACAAAAAAGGTCCCTGGTTTTCATTTTTCTTTTTTATAAAAAAAGTTCTTACGTTTTCGGGGGGGAGGCCCTTTTTCTAGTTTAGAGCAATAGCCCCTCCAAATGTCTGTGCACGTCCCTGCTTCTACTTGTATAAAACTGACCTTTGTACGATTAATACTTCATAAAATACTGCAGATCCTTTATCTTACCTCTTTCTAGTCTACACACATACAAGTATTTAACTGAAGTTACACAACAGTGTTATTGATACAGAGTTGGAGTTTATTCACACGTCACTACAGTGGGTAATGTTTTCAAGAAGCATTGCACAGTGCTGCCACATATGACACAGGACAAAAAGAAAAGACTCTGAACCCTTTCTTTGCCATTATATAAAAATAGTGTTGCTACAAAAGTATAAATGAGGCTTACTAATAAGACAACTCAGATCTGAAGCTGCACAGGAATCTGCTGCCAAAGTGCAATAAAAAAGACAAAATTAATCAAAGCCTTTTTTTGTTGCATTTTAGTCGAGTATAAAAATAAATGCCTTTAAAATAGGATGCCAGCAACACTAGTTTCTTAACCTGAATTGATAATAGACTATAATCAATTTAAGTTTGCATTCTTATACCATTTCGTACAATAATTATAATGAATAAGTTCAAACAAACTAAAACTTACAGCTGATTAATAACGGTATCTAACTTGAGTTTTTATTATATCAAAAACCTGTTGAAATGCTACTGTTATTTTTACTGTCCCCAAAAAGCGCGTCGGCAGCCTTCATGGATGCTTCTTTCACAACTTTGCCGTCTTTGAAAGACTTCATGACACGATAAGATGCTCTGGTAGCAGCCTTGCTCTTGTTGTTGGGCCTGGTGAAAATGGACTGCTGTGCATTTAGCTGTCCTTTCAGGCCCCTCCCCTTTTGGAGCGTAGGGCAGAATTAGGAGGGAATTCCGTCTCGTAGCGTTTGTGCACTGTTTTGAAATGTCGCTCCTAAATTACCATTCTTCGATAAAGCCACGCTCGCATTGCAGATGAGACAGATGGACTTTGAATTGGAATAGATACAAAAATAATCATCCTCCCACTCGGAGTGAAAATTATATATTTTGGGCTTTTTTGCTTCTGCCATAATTGCGGTCTTGTGTGTGTGCGGACTGCTCCTGTTGTTGAGTGTTGACACCATGGTTGACACGGACAATGTCAGCGAAATAGTGCCCACTGACCTGCCCACCAGCCACGCCCCGACACATGGGGTCACGCCGGCCAATCACAAAGCTTTGATGCGTTCAAGTGCATTATTCTGGCACAGGACAATTATGTTATAGGACATTAACGATAAAACAGAATATTGTTGTTCTATTTTTAGACACATCTCGCGATCGACTGGGAATCTCGGGCACCCCTGCCCTAGATGATGTCCCTCCCATGAAGAAGACGGCCTTGGACCAGATGTTCTGTGATTTCCTCCCTGCAAGATCACCAGTAAAGAAGACCACAAAGGAGAGAGCTAAGGAGGAAATCTTAAAGTACAGAGAGAGGGATGCTTTAGGTTTGAGTAGTGATGTGTTGCAGTGGTGGAAAAAACAAGTGGATCTTCTACTGCTCTCAACATTGGCAAAGAGCTACCTGTCCATCCCTGCAACAAGTGTACCCTCTGAACGAGTGTTTAGTACAGCCGGTGACATAGTGACAGCAAAGCGCAGCTTGCTTCATCCTGATCATGTTGATCAACATATATTCCTTAAGAAAAACCTGCAAGCTACACATATTAGTTAAGCTCAGTGAGGTGTTATGTCAGTGAGTGGTTTTTATTTTTACAGCAGCCTGTGACAATAATAGTTGAAATGTTATTAAGACCTATTTTTTTAAAAGGTTATTTGTATTCTTTATATGTTCATAAAAGAAACCGCTGCTTTCTGCTCACTGGTGAGTTAGCCTACTGAATGAGTGTTATGTACATCAGTCTGGCAGTTGTATGGCCATTGCTATATGGTAATTGTTTTTTGCACATTGTTAATGCTGGTCAATAAGGAATAAAACAAAATCCTCTGTCGTACCATATTGAATTGTATCATTATTTTTGCACCGTGTTGAATCGCATCGTATCGCATAATGTTGAATCAAATCGTATCGAACTGTATTGCAACAGGGGTGAATCGTATCGCATCGCCTGGTGTTTCAAATGTATCGTTAATGTATCGTGGCAACGTATCGAGATGCGCATCACATCGGCCTCAGTGATGGAGATGCACATCCCTAGTCCACACGGAATCGGCTCAATAAACCTGTCCGTCCACACGACACCGCTCGACCCGCTGGAGACGCTGTAGTACATATGCCAGGCCTGTAAGTGGCGCTGTACTTCCGCCACAAAATACACCAAAAGCTGCGAATAAGACCCCCCCCCCGAGCATGGTTGCCATGGTTGCCCTTCTGGTTATTCTCCGCGGTGGATTTAGCAACATGTAGTTCATGTAGTTCTCCATGTCCACTTGTTGCTGATGATTGTGCTAGAGGAGCTGTAGTTTTTTTTTGTGTTGCCATAAGTTATTCTCTCTCCGTTGGTGCGCGGGGCTAATGCTAATAATGCTAATGCCAGCAAATACAATGGCGGCTTCACACAACTTTTCCGAGTTTTACGGGGCGTGGTTTGCAATTCGCCCAGCGAATAGAAATTGGTACTTTTTTCTCCCCAGGATAGTACCACCTCTCTAGCAGGCACTAAAAATGGGGGTAAAAGTTCCCGGCACTAAGTATTCTTTTTGGTGTGAACGCAAAATAAGAGGTACTAACGGAACTAAAGTGGAAAAGTACGGGGAAAAGTACTCCGGTGTGAACACGCCTATGGTTAGTAGCGTCTGGAGCACGAACGCAACCCTGTGATCCGCCATTGTTGTTGTTGTTGTTGTTGTTGTTGTTGTTGTTGTTGTTGTTGTTGAAAGGCATCAGCAATGACGCGGGGTTGAGCAGGAGAGGCGCAGCTATGATCGTTTAGGGCGTACACACGGTGCCGCAAGTGTTACGTTACCAGACTTTCCCACTTTGGGATGCGTTATCGTTTGAGGGCTCTGTTTCTGCGGTTCCGTTACGGCCTCGTATAAAGAACTATAGCGGATAACACCCGTGTTGTCTCCGTGTGGACAGGGCCTCAATAGGCGCTTTCACACCAAGTACTTTTCCCAGGAACAGTTCCCGGAACTTTTATTTGCTGGAACTATCTAGTAAATCGCGTTCACACCGAAATGTAGTCCCTGAGGGAGCCGCTGACGTAACTTCTTCTTCTGCTTTGGGTTTACTGGCAGGCCGCAAACAACTTCACGGCGTATACTGCCAACCGAAGTCCCCGGAGTTGGGGACTGGCTTCAGTAGAAGCTGCTGGGACTCCCAGCAGCTTCTACTGAAGCCTTCAGAGTAAATCACCAGAAGCGCCGACACTCCCTCATCTCCACCACTCCCATGTTTTCTTTTGTGTTGCCATAAGTTAGTCTCTCTGCGTTTCTGCGCTGGCATAATGCTAATGCTAATAATGCTAATGCGAGAAAATAAAATGGCGGCTTCACAAAAACCTTTCAGAGTTTTACGGGGCGTGGTTTGCAATCCGCCCAGCCAATCAGAAATTGGAACATTTTTCTCCCCAGGAAAGTACCACCTCTCTAGCAGGCACTGAAAAGGGGTGAAAAGGTTCGCAAAAAAAGTTCTAGTTCCATATCTTTTTGGTGTGAATGCAAAATCCCAGGAACTATCGGAACTATTCCTGGGAAAAGTACTCCGGTGTGAAAGCGCCAAATGTGTTCCTGTGTGGCATGATAACACCTCGAAGGGCTTTGTAACATTGTCGGTCCCTCTCATGTGAAGTGAACTTTGTAACGCTCACACCCAGGCGTCATGTTTACCTTGCATCCAGCTGCAGACGAGTCTTTATCAGCCATATGGGGTTGGTGGCTGTGATGGCTGTAAAAGCTGCAGGGAAAAAGACAAATGTGTTCAAAATGTTCCATGGTGTGTTATTATCAGCTGTCTGACAACTAACACAGAAAGATAATATGCTGTATTCATGGTAGCTAAAACAATGAACAATTATTATTTTTAACAAAAAGCAGCTTCACGTGAGAAAGCTTGATCTTCTATAGAATATCCTCTGTGTGATCTGAAGAGGAGCTACTGCATGTCATCAAATTCAATGTCAAGCAAACAGCTGTAAAAAAACAGCTTCTTATCCAATGAACTTTATGGTAGGAGAGTAGAGGACAGAAAGGTGTGTGAGAGAGACGAAACAGATATAAAAAGAGGCATAAATCCACATGATATGCTTATAAAAATCAAGACCAGGGATTTCAAAACCATTTGACCTCCCGTAAAAAGCTCTGTGTCATGTTATATGGTAATTTATCAAAGGGACCGTTTTCTGCAGAAAGAGTACTCTGTTTATCAAACTTTACTTTACCAGATGTCTAGATATCTTCTGCTGGAAATTGAAAACTCACCTGTAGGTAATTCAAATACTCAAATAAAAATGTATGAAGCACTTTAAATGGTTTGGCTTTGTAATGGCATCCAAGGTTTCCTTTTGCCACTATAGAGCGGGGTTGACGACACGCAATCCAAGACTATAAGCAGCCGAAGGTTTTCAGTCAAAAAATGTAATTTATTAACAAAAAAGTATTCACTTAAATAGTCTCAAAATAACAAATCTAAATCAATATTTCAGCGGTATGCTTTCCTATATAAACTATACTTTGCAGTCCAATTTGCAACACTAATCACTGTTTGCAATTTGCGGTCGAAAAACTGTTCCGCTCCCCGTCTCATCAGGTCTCCGAGCACGCCGGCTGTCCTCAATTAAATACACACCGGAAGGTACAAGGAAACAGATCATATTTACGATATAAAATTAACAATCATTTCCTCAAAACATATTCACCATGGCAATATAAATCATTTTCCATCATTAAATCATTTATCAAATTATGAATCGAAATAATAACGTTGTGGCTCTAACAGGCTTATTTGAAGCTTTGATTATTTTTGCTAATCTTTTTCTTCATGGCTGGTTGCACCTAATGTAAGCTGCGTCAGGTAAAAGAACATGTTGGTGATAATGATTGTGTACATGAACCTATGATGGAGGATTTTATAAGTTAAGTATTTAGTAGCAGAAACACGTTGCTCTAACAGCTGCTGTGGCTTTCACCTGTCGCTGCACAGAGGAGATAAATCACTGCTCCATCGAATCCTCATCACCTGTCACTTTATTTAGTCTGCAGAATATGTGCATTCACTGCTGGAGAGATATTTACAGACAAAGCTGACCTTGACTGTTTTTTTTTTTGTTTTTTTAAGTCTGAGTGATAGTGTGCTAAAAGCTTCACCGATTGAACAGCGCTGTAAAGACTCAGAGGGACACAAGAGCAAACAACCAACCGTTGACAAACAAAGTGTGAGGGGAAAATAACACGGTATTTATTCCTGTCCTTTTAACATGTTACATTTTAACTGAGCTGTTTTAAGATTTCTGTTTGGGCATTATATCGCCACCGAAAGGTGAAGGAAAAAAGAGGAGGATTCTCTCTGCAGGACAGAATTTAAACAAGTCTGCAGCAGCATGAGTTACGGTACGTCCACACAGCAGCTTTAAACAAATCTTCCAACGCTTCTCTGCACATTGACTTTGAATGGGGGTGACGTCACTTTTCCTCGCTTGTCGCCGAACTGCATTGTGGGGGAGCGAAGCGAAGATTTCCAGGATTTTCAGGATTCAAAAGTTGAGCAATGTTCAACTTTTGAAGCTGAGCTGGAAGCGTCAGCCAATCAAATCCCATGTATGCAAATCTGACAGTAGAAGTGCTAGCCAATCAAACCGCGTGTATGCTGGGAGAGCCAGACCGCAGTTCATTTCCTCATATTCCAAACGAGAAATTACGGTAGCAAATCACCCGGTTCTTTACGACCAGAACTATTAACGGGATACAAACCGGAGGAACCAGGCATGGAGGGAGGTGGCAGAGACAGTGGGTGAAACTGGTAGGTTTTCGCCTGTTTGGGGAGTTTTTATATATATATATATTGCTTGCATAAAATCCCCGGGGTTTTTTGCTTTGTATGTCGGGGGCGGGAGATTCATGTGATTGGTTGTTGGTCGCAAAAAATCCCCAAGCTTTCAGACACGCCCAGCTCCAAGCTTTTCACGATTTTTGAAAAGCTGCTGTGTGGACGTACCGTTATTGAAAATGTTATTAGCCAGATTGGCCTACTTGTACTATGGTTTGTTTATAAACCCAAAAGAGATTTTTGTTAAGTTTTGTTCTCAAAATCCTAGCTTTTATTTCAAAATTCTTTCTTTAAAAAAAATGTTTTTGACTTTCACATTTTTTGTGTGACTTTTTCTAATAATCTTTTGACTTAAAAAAAAGAAAAGGAATTGATTTTTTTCTAAAAATAAATTGACTTTTTTCAGAATACATTTTTGTAAGAATTCTCACTTCTATCTCAGAATTTATAAAAATAAATCACTAGTCGGATCCCAAGTAAAAAAAAACATGGGTTGTCCTAATCCTCTTCGGTACAGAGGCCTGTACTACGAAGCCAGATTTTCGCTTAGCGGCTGACTTCAGGGAAAACTCTGGGTTTCCGGTCCTACGACGCTGGTTCTCTTTTTAGCAGGCTAGATCTCCATGGTAACTTATGCTGAACGGCTAGCCTGGTCCGGAGCAGGTTAGGTTGCAGGCTAAGAGCTCAACTCAGTGAAAGCATTGCCTGCTGACCAATCAGAGCTCAGTGTGCAGAGTTTAAAGCGATCAAGTCATATTACAGGAGAAAGGAAATACAGAAACACTGCCGTTGCAGGAAAGACGGCCGGCAAAAATCACCGACTGTGTGAACGTGAACATTAATAGAATATCACCTCCATCTTCAGAGCAATCTGACTGTTATAACATTAGCGTTAAGAAAGCTTACTTAAATATCTGCTACAACATAAGTAACCGGATCAGAGTAACATTAAGTACAGTCCATATCACTTCATAATGTATCATATATTTCCTTATCTGAGTCAGCTGAGCCGTATCTGGCCGTGCAACACTCACAGTGTCGCATACTGGATGCAGAAGGATTATTTTAAGCAACACATTAAGTTGAGGAAACACTCGAGTCAAATGTAATTAAAGTCAGATCGTGTTTTAGACGGGGCAGTGATATCATAAACCTGTTAATGTACGCATTCAAACACTTGTTCTGTTCCCAGCTGTATTCACCTTGCAGGTGCAGCTCTGTGGCTTTGATCCTGGATCAAGTGTTTAAGTCATGGATGTTTAAAGTTTAACTTCTTCATATGTCTAATATTATAGTTGACTTTTCATTCAGGAAGTATGACGCTGCGCTGTCAGTACGCTTCTCCATGTTTGTGATTGGTCAAATGTTGCTAACCCTGCCCCCAAACATATCCAGGGTATGTTGAACTGGATTCATAGTACAGGCCTCAGGAGTCTATTGAGTGGACTTGTTTGATTTTTTTTAATTAAATAACCTACTTTTTAAAAAAAAAAGGGCCTTGATGTGATTTCTGATAAAGCCTCCCTATCAAATATTTTCAAGCCCAATAATAACCTAAGGTACCATTTCAAAAGAATATCTCCGGGACATTGAAATATTCCCCATAAAGTTGACCTATTTTGTTCTAGTGGAAACTCTAAGGCACATGCTGGGGTTTGTGTTTCTGACAGTATGTCGAAAAGCATTGCGGTAAACGTCCACCCGTTGTAGTTACCTGCCATTCCAGCCGACACCATGTGTACCTGCGTGGAGTCGGGTTCAAACACACCGTTCAGTTTCTCTTTGGCCGTGGAGTAAGCAGCAAAGTAGATTGCTCTGTTGGCAAAAAAACACAAAAAGGTGAGTAATACATTTAACACAAGTACAAGGGGAAACAAGTTATACATGACATGTTTTTCTGCTGAAGTGTCAATACAATTAGTCCTGATGATGTGCCTCCGGTAGCTTTGTAGCCTTTAAATTACACAACATCAACAAATACAAGCGTCCTCATGTCAGCTTCAGCCTAATGAGCTTTGAAAAATTAATTCGGTGTAAAGCAGAGAGCGGAACCGGCAGCAAATCAGCTGGTTAGACACAGAGGCTACTCAGTACAAACAGCACGTCTTCATTATTTTCACTAATTAAAATAGGTCATAACCATCACATCTCAATAAAAACAACTGCTTCTGTTCTTTTTAACAGCATAATGTGCCGTGTGTTTGCTAATGAAGCTCATCAGTCACTTATAAGAGTGTTTGTGTGAGCGTACATCTTCAAATCTGCGTCACAGCTCCTCTGCATCAGCATTTATTCACGCAAGATGCCAACAAAACACTTCACATGTGCTAAGCACTGACATCTGCCTGCTGCAGCATTACCGCTTCCCACTGCCATTAGCGCCCACTTTGTTCCCGTCACTACCACCGAGCATGATTAATGAGCGTTAATGTTGTATATACAGTACATAGCATTAGCTAACTTCAGTCATTTACAGCAGGGGTTCCCAACCTTTATTGTTCCAAGGACCGGCAGATACATTAAAAAAGAATCGCGGACCGGTTGTCAATTTTAACTGATTTTAATATTTACTCACCACCAGCAGGTAGCAACAGAGGCTAATTGTATGTAACAGCCTGAACAAATACTAGAACAATATGCATCTAAAACATATTAACAACGTTTAAAAAAGAACCGGTGTCGTTTTTTGGTTTTTCGGAAAAACGGAAAACCAAAAATGTATGTGTGTGTGTGCGTGCGTGCGTGCGTGCGTGCGTGCGTGTGTGTGCGCGCGTGCGTGCGTGCGTGTGTGTGCGTGTGTGCCTGGCATTTGTTTTCAGAAGATATTATGATAGTGACGTTCGTTCCGGTGCACGTCCGACAGCATTTAGCACTACATCGAGATTAAGATTAAACTAATTTATTTTGGGAACACCCGCATATAGGCTACCTGTGGAGTTAGCCAGATGTGTGTAAATTACTGTTCATGGTCATTTGAAAACAAATGCCGGTGTCGGACAGACACAAACACACCGAACACACAGAGCTGAGCTGAGCAGAGTATACACACACACACATCATGCGCCTTGGTGACTGGACATCTCCTTCATAAAACTAATAAAAGGGGGAGTAATCGGGCAGTTCGATGTGTGTAGAGGTGTGTGTGGTTAACACGTAGCAGCCTGCAGTCACTCGCTGTTCTGATGAAGGTAAACACAGCGAAGGCGGTGCGTAAAAAGGCACAGCTCTCGGCGCGCTGGTGCTGCACTTCTCAGAGGCGGAGTATACGTCCGGCTGCCTCCTGGTGCTGCCTGCAGCCATTTCATGAAGTGAAGGAGGTTTTCCTTCTATAAAACAGCTGCGGGCAGCAGATACCGTGAGAGTCCCGGACATGAATTCATAGATCAAGGCAGACTGGTTTACTCTCCTGTTTTGCCAATCCCGTGCTTAAACAAATAGCTCTACACCCCTGGCCGACATGTCCTTAAAATGAAGTCTGAGTTTGAAATGTATCTCAAATAATGTATGCACTGCCATTTCCCTACATAAACATAACAGTCTGCAATTAAACGGTTGTCTCCTGTGCGCTCCTCTTACTTGGCGCACCGGTAACTTTCTCTGCGCACGAGAGGCTGAGACCAGGCTGAGCCGCCGAATCCCTCGGAACATCATAAAAGCCATTTTCAACGGTTTTCTGGTGAAAGATTAACTAGGCTACTGGATGAAATAATATGACTGGTATACTGTAGGTGCAACAATTATAACACTTTTTGAAAACAATATTATGATAAAATATTTTTATATATTTATAATTCTGCAAATATTACGATAAACTCACAGCTATTTCGCAGCCCGGCAGTAACACCTCTGCGGCCCGGTACCGGTCCGCGGACCGGGGGTTGGGAACCCCTGATTTACAGTATTTACAGGACACAGACCAAACGCTGTTGCCATGTTTGCGTGTAGAAACTGCTGAAAAGCCACGAAGATGAATGAGCATGTATTTCTAACACATTGTATGTGATAGGGTAAGGGGCGGGACATCTCTAAGCAGTTCACCAATCAGAGCAGACTGGGCTCTGGTTTCAGACAGAGGGTGAAAAGAGGTGCTGCAGCACAGGCAGTATGAGAAACGTAAAGAGCTTTTTGAACATTAAAGCATGGAGACATGTAGAGACACTACATACTGATATACACCTGAAAAGAGCAAAATAGGGCCTCTTTAACAAATAGTGTTATTCTTCTGATTTTAATATAAGAACACATTGTAATTTGACTAACATTTGGATTATTTGTGCAGCCCTAGTGGTTACATAACACCACTTTTTCTAACAGCCATGTCAGCCCTTATGTTGACAGATCAGCCTTGAAAGTACTGAGGCAAAGTGCCAAATGTTAATGAAACAACTGGCGTATAATAAGCACCGCTGTTATCAAAGCCCTGTAGGAAACTGATGAGATGACCTTGGTGTTTGTTTTGTATGACGTGCGCCACGGGTGCTGAGATACATTTATGAATACATGCACACTAGGGCTGTACCCGAATATCCGAATATTCGTTCGTTGGAGTACTATTCGGGTGTCAATTTCGTTATTTGGATATTCGTTTTGTTTGTTTATTTGTTTTTTTTCAAATTGAATTGATTGAAATCTCCAATATCAACGTAAGAGCTTGTGCCTCTTCGGGGGTGCTAACACTTAACCATAAATGTTATCGTTTACTTTCTCAGTCTTTATATGTAGATATTACTTTTCTCCGTCAAGTTGTTTCCAAAGCAACAACTTCCTGTCAACTGCGCTAACTCTCCTTCAAAATAAAAGCATGTCCATAAATAGGAAGCCAAGCCAAATTACACTCAAGTACTGGTCAATTTTGAATTTTGTGCTATTTTGATTCTATAACATGTTTTCTTTCAGGCTTTTGGAAGGAAAACGTACAAAATACACATTTAAGTGTTTATTTTACTATAGTTTGTCTATTTGCGTCTGTAGATTTCTCCTAAATTCACCAAAAGTTAGCATTCTAACGTAACATAAAGTACCGCGACCGCTGTGTGCACCATGTCAACAGAGGTATCGCTGGAAAGCTCCGTCTCTCCTGCACAATCTCATCGGATCCAAATATGGTCATTTCCTTTGTATCAGCAACCAATCGTGAAAGCACAAAGGGGTCTTAAACCAAGAAACGAAATCTCATTGGCTGGTGTAAATTTCTGACAACGTGATTCGTTCAGATGCGTCACGTGGTGTGCTAAAAACACTTCCTGGTTAGCTTTCCGCTAGAAATTGAAATCTCAAAATGGCAAAAGAACGGTGAAAAAAACTTTCACAGAGAAGATGACAACAATTGTCACTTGCACGAAGCAAGGTTATATAAAAAACAAATGACCCCGAACATGAAATACGTTCAAGGAGTGCGCAAGCTGTCATCCAAAGAACAGGAGGGTTTAGCTAGCGCCTCACTGCAATCTTTAAAGGTCGTTTTCTCAAAATGAGTTTTTTCTCCTACTCCGAGTTCGAAATGTCCACTTCAGTAGCACGTAGAGACACCAAACCTTCCAGTTATATTCCTATTAGGGCCGGGACTTTAACGCGTTAATTAAGATTAATTAATTACACAAAAATTAACGCGTTAAAAAAATTAACGCATTTTAATCGCACTTATTTTTGCACAGCGGAACGTTTCTCACTGGATGAGTTTCAGGCGTACCGATTATACTGGAGCACCAACTAACGTTCATGACTTCAGACAACAACAAACCACAGTGAACAACAGTGGGAAATGTTGTTTTAAAAAACGGAGGGATGGAAGCGTCGATAAGAGCACGGTTGTGTGCAAATTATGCAAAAAGGAATTCGCATATCACCGCAGCACATCAAGCCTCAAGTATCACCTGAATGCAAAACATATAGCAGCTAGCGTGGAAGCTAGCGTGGACGTTAGCCTCTTTTATCGCGTTCACACCAAAAAGAGCCGGTATTAAAATTAGTTAATGAGAACCTTTTTACCCCGACGAAAGTCCCTGCTAGAGAGCAGAGAGCTGCTAGAGAGCAGGGACTTTCGCACGGCTCTCTTGTGAGAAAAGAGCTATATTTCTGATTGGCTGGGCGGATTGCAAACCACGCCCCGTAAAACTCCCAAAAAGTTTTGTGAAGCCGCCATTTTATTATCCTCGCATTAGCATTATTAGCATTATCATTAGCCCAGCGCAGAAACGCAGAGAGACTAACTTATGGCAACACAAAATAAAACATGGGAGCGGTGGAGATGAGGAGGTGTCGGCGTTCTGGCGATTTACTCGGAAGGCTGCTGGGACTCCCAGCAGCTTCTACTGAAGCCAGTCCCCAACTCCGGGGACTTCCGGCCGGGGACTTTGGGCGGCAGTATACGCCGTGAAGTGGTTTGCGGCCTGCCAGTAAACCCAAAGTAGAAGAAGAAGTGACGTCAGCGGCTTCATTTGCCTAATCCTCCCCCAGGTTCAAAGAGTTCTCATGAACTAAATTCTCATGAACCTTTGTGGGAAAAGTACTGCGGTGTGAATGCGCCTAATGGTATACTAAAATCCATGTGAAAAAAAAATTGCTTCTCACTGTTCTTAGGTCAAATATGTATATGCAATTAAAAATGCGATTAATTTCGATTAATTAATTACAAAGCCTCTAATTAATTAGATTAATTTTTTTAATCGAGTCCCGGCCCTAATTCCTATCAATATTATGAAGGCTTTTACAGAAGGGTTTGTTCATATATCATTCATAGCCTGAATTATACAACATTGTATACCTAAAAACATGGCGAAAATGGATATTTTAGGGCTGTTGACAGTATTTTCTGATTTATGGAGTGATAAAAAGAGATATCCAATATCCCTTCTGTAAAAGCCTTAGATACTAATATGACTACAAAATGAAACAAGAATTTTGAACCTGGCCTTATCCAAAGTTCAGATTTCGATTCCTGAAATGTGCTAATGCACACATTTGATTTAAAGAGCACTGACTGAGCGGCATGTGGTTCCCTGGGCTTTAGATGTGTTCTCCTCGCAGTATCACACTCTTTCACAGTAGACATTTTGGCTACGTTCACATTACTGAGCTTAATGCTGCAGGATTTCATCTGGAGAGGGATAACGGCACTGGAGACACAATTTAGCAGATTAACAATGTTATCAAATGTTTATTTGTCAAAGAGATACTGAGTTTTGCAATTGACTTTACTAAGTAACTATTTAGTTGAAGACAAAACTAACAGAGTTGTGCAGGAATGAGTCAGCATTTTAGGGTTATGAAACAAGGTCTGTGTTTAACACAGGAATCCTGAAGTCAAATGTAAGACCTTTTAAGACCCTTTCCATACATTTTAAGACCTCATCGCCACTTTGAGTTTCAACCGGTTACATTGGCGACACGCACATTGACTATATACAGTATTGATTGTCCTTTCTCTTTATCTTCGAACCATTTGGACGCAGACTTAACGATGTTGTTTAGCAACCGGCGTAAACGGACCTTCGCGCGCTATCAAGCCGTGAGCGTGCGATGTCCTGTTCAGATGACGTCAAATCCAACGGGATGCCATCAATAAACTACACAGAATCACACTACACACCTACGCAACGATTACATTCAGGCACACTGTAGAATACAACCTCTCTGGACCATTTATAGACTTATTGAAAACAAGCTACAAAATGTAATACCTTGGAAAATGCCGTTTAATTCTTTTTAATAGCCTTAATTTTCGCTAAATTGATTTATCAACTTTTAATACTTTTTAAGACCCCGCGGACCCCCTGTGACACAAGCTGAGTAGAACAAGCTTTTGTTGTGTGAAATCAAATATGTCAGTAAATACCTCGCTGTGTCTTAAAAACAGTGGTTGCTAACAAGTGTCTAAATGAGACGACTAAACGTCATCACGCCAAACATTAGCCACCTTTAGCTTAGCGCTGGTGACGTGAAGTCATGTGACCAGGATGTAGTTAGCTTATAGCCTAACGTTTACACTTTGACTATAATAAAAGTGGTTTTAATGAGTGGACATTATCCTGTTGAACAAACATGTAAGTATCATGAGAATGTTTGACACAGATCTTATTTTCTTCCAATAGAAATATCCCATTGGCTTTTTGTCGAGGGAGCCCTTGCAATGCTAACCCGCGGGTTGTAAATGCATCATCCAGGGCTCGACATTAACGACTGCCCGATGGCCATCTAGTATTTAGCTCGGGCAATGAAGCCTCACATGCTGGTTGCCCGATCGAGCAATCTATTATGCCAGTATCATGCAGCTCGCGGATCCAGTATGAGTGACCCGACAGTAAAACTAAACATATCTATAACTAGTTACGGTAGTTTGAGAGGTCATTAAAATAGCTACGTGTGATATTCTAACCTGAAGTGTGTGTTTTGTTCGCTCACCGCTGCAGGTGATCATGCAGAGCTGCGTGTCGACTCGTCAGCAGCAGCTGATCTCTCTCTCCCGTCAGATTAGACTTCACTCGCGTTTATGTCCATATCGATCAGATCCAGCTAGTTCTAGCTAATGATAGGACTACCTGCTTATTAAAAGACACCTAAACAATAAGTGTCGCTATGCAACCGGGTGAGGCCACAAAGTATAGCGCAGCATTATGCATTTCTTTACATGCCCACCGGAACCCCGACGCATTACCAACAGATCAACGCACAATCAACCCATCCAGGACATCTCTTTCTCCACATTACGTGTTAGACATTAGAGTTGACTATTCTCGTCTGTCACATACTCTTCTTGTCTGTCACATAAGTGGCGCAACTGAAGCGGTATTGCGCTAAAGGGAAATTATTTTGACCGAAGAGATTTAGATTTGCCGGCTAACGGGAACTCTGACGTCGCCATTTTGTGTGCTTCGCGGATGCGCTCGGCTCCTCTCGACTGCTGCTCGGGTCTGCTCGGTCAGCTTCCGGATGAGGAGGCATTCGTTCGACCAACTTACAGTAGATAACATTACAAACATTTTTAACAGGGGCCATAATAGTGTAAATAATGTTTGTTTTGGTAGTAATAACTGAATGTAATGTTTTCTACTTTTTTACATCTGGGAAGGCATCTGCCTTCATCAGATGGAAAGTGTCTTGACCAACAACTTAAGTATTTCTTATAGCAGGGCATGCAAGCGAGCAAACACAAACAAGAACAAACAAGTGAAATGAAGAATACAATTGAAATTGTACTATATAATATTGTGGTGGTTCATCTTATAATTCAGTCTAGAGAACCAGACAGCATCTAAGACCTGCAAACATCTAAATGTTCTAGGGGGAGGCCCCCTAAACCCTGCGTGCGTCATTTCGTCCGCGCGCATTTTTCAGGGCAATCTCTATTGGGCTCAGAGCCATCTGTAAATTAGCTTAGATCCTTAATGTCATGCACTGCATCATCACTGCAACACTTTATAGCTCAATATGTACACATTGCTAAACATACGATGAGGATTAAAGGTGACAGCTTACCTAGAAGGTGCCACTCCCACCAGGTTTGGCCCCAGGCCCCTGAAGAGAGAGCGGTAACCCTCTTTCTTCAGGATCAACCTGAAAACAGAAAACACAGAAAAAAAGTAAGTACGTATTATAACTCCACCGTGCATGTTTTAGTTATGTTTAGGTTTGACTGGTGTGTTAACATTATTTCTACCAATATTGTCAGATTTCTGGAAGTTTTGTCTAATTTACAGATATAATTCCAATTAAAATATCAAGAACAAGAAATTTCAAAGTTTCTGTTTACGTATGTTTTTTCCGGGCCAACTGATCACCAGTGAATGAACCCAATTGTCTTGAAGATTGGTGGGGTGTAGTGTGATGATACTGGGTCCATTCAATCTACATTTAGAGATATTAGAGCAGGGGTGGGGAACCTTTTTCCTCTCAAGGGCCATTTCAATTTTTTCAACATCCTCAGAGGGCCGTACAAATTATTGACCTCTGCTTAAAAAAACTAAAATCACAGCCCATTCATTTCGCCTTTCATTCATGCTGTGCAAAGAAAAAGCAAACTCTGAATCCAGATATCTTGCCATGACTCGCGCATGCACGTGCAGGGTGTGGCATGACCACCAAAACAGAAAGATATGGACACAAGATGTGTGCAAATGTATTTAGTTTCCTGTCCATGTGGACATGATGTAAGTGGGGGGGGGGGGGGGGGGGGGGGGGGGGGGGGGACCTAACCTGTTAAATGTTGAAGTTAAAAGCATCAATCTGGTTCACTTTGAGAGCAACATTAGGAGATCTATGGATACATCTCTCAACACCCAGATGAAACAGAACTGTAAACAGATTTTATTTTTCTTTATGGATATTTTACAAATCACTTAAAACTGTATTCTTCTTTATTAATAACAACTTTTTTACTGTCATATAGTATTGTATACCTGTTTACTTTATTCTCTTATGTTTTTATAACTATAATGATCATATAAAGATGTGCCTTCACCTCACTGGTTGTAGAAAAAGCTTCTTATATTCGTTAGCATAGCTAGCTAACCAGATGCTAATAACAACAGTTATTGACTGTATGATCAGAATGACAGATGAACAGATCGCCACTGGGCTTTCAACTAAAGACACAGCCACGCAGAAACTGCGGCATGTGTACGGCTCCTTATGGGTACCGTGCTGGAGAGACGTTCTGGTGCTCTCCGTCAGCACTACAGCCCTGCCAGACGAGACATATACCACGTGATGACACGTTAGGCGCGTGTTGTGTTCAAGGACCCTGACCTTGGGCAGGAAAAACAGACACTCGCTTGTTTAATCTTTTTGCGGTCTAGATTTCTTTAATTTTTTTCTTTTTTGCGTGTGTTTATAAATTACCAAATGGAAGGGCTGCTCAATTAATCGTATTTTAAATCGCGATTACGTTTATGGCTTGCAACGATTACGAAAACAACGTAATCGAAATAAAACGATTTTTTTTATTTTTTTTTCAGTTGAGTTATACTTAAAGTTCAGGGAAATCAACGGTTAAAAACACTGTTCAAATGTGTTTTCTCCAATAAATTGATGTTTTCAAAGTAGATGGATAATCGTTTTGAATAATCGTGATATCAATTATTGATCAGTGGAGTGAGTGGAATATGTTTTACCAAAATGTTGGCTATATGTTAAGGAGTTTTCAGGTTGTGACCGTGCACTGCAACATGTTTGTTGATCTTGTTTATTGGTATTTATTATTTTGATATTATTTATTAAAATGTAGACATGAATGTATAATTTACTTTATTTTGTATTGGTTTTTCAGGTGATTACCCTGAACATATAATTCAACAGTTAAAAAGTTCAAATTATTATTTGTATTTGTTTTAAAGTACAATAAATGGACGTTTTCAAAGTCAATGAATAATCAAATTTAATAATCGCAAATTCAATTATTGACCCAAATAATCGAGATTATGATTTTTGCCATAATCGAGCAGCCCTACTAAAAATGGTCTCACGGTCCGTATACGGTCCCCACCCCTGCTTTAACACAATGGGAGTTATCTGAGAGTCACCTTTTTTAATCTACACATTGCAGCAATGGTTTCACACTGTTGGTGGTAACAAGGGAACGCGCCTACAAAAGCAGCGAGAAGAAGTCTCAAAGCAAGTTATTATGGATAGTTATCAATGCAGGCTAGGTTATCTACTTTACAAATGCATTATGAGAAAGTAAGTGCATTCAACAGATGTAAGACTTCAAGTAACACCCACAGGTCACTTTCAATTTCGTAACCGTATGAATATGGCGACCCTGGATCTAGCACCACCTTGAAGGCAAAGTTTCCATCCCAAATGTAAGGTAAAGGTTGTCCTGACATCTCACGAGAACATTAACATATCAGGACTAACCCTTGTTATAAATACAACATGGCCTTTCTCTGTCCTTCCACTTTAGGAGGAACTTTAGCCTACATGCAAAGCCCTCACCCCAGTCAGCAGCTAACAATAGAAAGATGGTCAGTTGTTTGTCCGTTTAAAATGCTTTTGTATTGAGGAGGGTATACACCAATAGTTGTAGGGGACACACCAAACGGAAGGGTTACCAGTTACTAGCAGCCATAAGAGTTTCCAATTGAATGGTGTTTGTGAAGAGCTTATGCAAAGCAGATGTGCTCCTGTCTTCTGAGCTCAGTTTGTGCCGTGTCCTGACGCTGCTGTGCAAATCAGTGAAATTAATTTCATGCCGCCTCACTGACCGCTAATGCCTGCAATATGTCGTGATGTTTTTGATTGGTAGTGGCTGCAGGCTACATAATGCTCCGTCTTATTTTATAATAACAAACTTGACGAAGATATGTCTGCTACCTTTGTGTCTCGCAAGGAACTTAATCTACTACGAAACAACGTAAATGACCAGGAGGCATTTTAGCATGTGTTTGAAACACTGGTAACACTTGGATTTTGATAATATTCCAAAATGTATTTAGTGGGGATTATTCTGCCAGACGACAGAATGAAGTCTCTGCTGTTACAGTGACTGGCATTTTATTTCAATGTAACTTAACTCAGTGGATTTGAGAAGTGGCATGGTGTCAACAATTTAGAAGAAGCCAGCCATTCTCTTCTTCTTCACGGAGCGGATCTAAATTTCCTTTAACATCACAACTGGGAATCCACTCAAATCAAAGATGCATTTTGAATAATTAAACATAACGTAGGGAAAGGCCTGTCACAACTGACCACAAAGAGTCCTGAGGTATCAAAGATTTAGGAACATCTTAAAAGATAACAGAACAGTTGGATTTTTTAAATAACATTTCCTGTTTGGCTAAAGCGATTGTGTATGGTTTTCCCAAAGAGAGAGGGTTTCAGGGACCAAACAGCAAAGAAATGGTGCCTGAAGAAGGAACCCAAAGCTCTGTTAGAACAGGGAGGAGGAACCACGAGCTACATCTAACTCACATTGGTTAAAACTCAGACAATCGTCATCAGTGTTTCCGCCAGGGGGGCGTCTTGCCGTCATTTGACGCCCTTATTCAGCTCGGAACGCCCCGAACTGGAGCCGAGGGCGTCCAAAAAAATAAATACTTTGAGAGAAGAACGAGTTTTTATCGCTTTAAATGACGAAAAGGAAAAAGGACATCCCTCTGTTGGAGGGGCAAAGGAGTCTGGTGGGATTATTTTCACCGCCAGCAAAGCACGTTCCTGTGACAACAAAAAACAAAACATCGCCGCATCTTCCAAGGACCGTGCCAGGAGGGGTGTCCCCGTCGGCAAGGAAACGTAAAGAGATAGTATAAGGGACGGCGCAATTCAAAATTGTGTGTATGCAAACGTAAAGAGATAGTATAAGGGACGGCTCAATTCAAAATTGTGTGTGTGTGTGCATACGTAAAGAGATAGTATAAGGGACGGCTCAATTCAAAATTGTGTGTGTGTGTGCATACGTAAAGAGATAGTATCTATAAGGGACGGCTCAATTCAAAATGCAAGTCACGCCACACGACGCCACACGCCTCTCGGGGTGGACGCCCTCTCAGCCCTGGACTGGCGGAAACACTGATCATAATAAACACGGGTTACTGAGGTGTAAGTTAAGACATCATTTTGTAGAATGCATGCAAATAATGCATCGGGTGTACGACGTAGCAATGTCCCACAAACCTTGTTTCAGAATATTTACACACACTTATTTTCCCAACTGTTTTCTTTGCAGTCTGCCCGTCACCACCACCAGGTTTTAGCCAGAGCAAACTAATTAACCGAATAGCAAATTGCACTCAACAAGCTGAACTAAAAGCTGACAGTATAAAACAGTTTCGCTTCATTAGAAATAAGCTAAATCTTGTAGACGGTGCGGCTCAGACGTAAAAGCTGGCTGTCGTCCCTTCTATGTCTTAAACTCTTTTCTAAATCGCACTTGTTTTGGATGTCAGGAATAATATGCCTTTTATTTTACAAATTCCAGGAAGATAAGATATCATTTATGTAGTTATACATGTATGGATTCACGGTCTATTCTATTTAACACATACACTAATATTAATCCTGTGAAGAATTGACAAATGTATAGATATTTTTTAAATAAGCTAAAACTAGCAGACCTCGTGGCTGAGATGTAAAACCTGGCTGTCGTTCCTTCCAGCAGTATTTAACTATGTTCTATATTGCACTTGTTTTGATGTCAGGAATAATATGCACATTTATTTTACACATCCCAGGAAGATAGGATTTTATTTATTTATTTATAGATGTATGGATTTGCAGTTGCTGCTTGGGAAACTTTGAGTTATATTTAACAATATTAAAATGAATACAGAACAAGATAAAACATTAGGGATGCACTGATCTGGAATTTATAACTAGTGTAGCTTGTTCCAGATGTGGATAAAATAGTGTGTTAGGTCTAACTCTTAGTGTGTGTCGCTCCGCTCACCGGTCCGTCACAGTGTGCTTCACACACGTTGCATACCGCTATTTTAATGTCTTTTTCGGACATCTTAAAATACCGGCCCGGTGAAGCCATTTTGACGAGCTATTTTTGCCGCGCACTGAGAAAAGTGTCATGTACTTTACGACATGTGATCGGCTCTCCTGATCGGCCTTTATAGAGAGCACCGATCGATAACGATTGGCGGCCGATCGATCGGAGCATCCCTATAGGACATCTACAGCAGTGTTTCTTAAACTCCACAAATATCCAAAATCGCATCGTTGTTCTAGAACAGATTACAAATCGCCTGAAAAGGGTACAAACAAGTGGCAACATGTGTGATGAAGGTGTTGTGCTGGGCCATATCATGCAATCGAAACAATATCATGAAACTTTAGCTCGCTCTATTGCGGAGATATTCCCGCCAGAGTGCGGAAAACCTAAATGTATTTATTTATTTTAAATGTGAAATGTTACCAATATACTCACGGACCACTAGGGGGCGCTCACGGAGAAGCACTGATCTACAGTGATAATATGTTCAAATGAAATGTAAAATGAAAGTAAAATAGAAAAGAAATACAGTACAACATGGACAAAGATACCAGTGACCATTGAAAGTTAACCCAAATTACAAAAGAGAGGTTTTTAAAATGTGCTTTTAAACATTACAAGGGAGTTTGCTGTTCTAAATTGCAATAGTACTGCACTGATAAGGAATGGATAATAAGTAAGACGTGTAGAATCGATAAGGCGGTGTGACGGGGGTAAATGTAATGGAGTACTCACCTGAGGCAGGGCAGGGGGCCGGGGGGGGACATGCGGGCCACACTGGCCCCGTTGACAGTGCTGAGCTGGACCTCAGACATATAGAAGTTGATGGTGGACGACTGCAGACGGGTCTTCACGACCTCCAGAGGACACGTCACTATGGCTCCCACCGTGCCCCCACATCTGGAAGGAGAGACACATATGGAAAAAATGTTTAGCTAACAAGTCTCAGCTGACAGGACAAGACTGAAGTGTCGTTGTTCGATGGTGTCAACGGTCAGGGTGGAACGTGTGCAACGTGTTAATGTTCAGGCATCAGTTAATTAGCCGATGATGTGGTGGGTTAGTTGGAATTCGGATGACGCCTGGCACGCAGTCACGATCTGGCAAAGTGTGGGAACAGTGAGACGGTCAGGAATGCTTTGTGTTAATGACAACAAGCTTTTACTCAGTGCCACACCTCTTTGAAAAATCACACATGTATGTAGTTTTACACGAGGGTGAACCAAGCAGATTCGGTTTTTAAGATCAACATTAGGAACATTTTGTTGTTAAAAAATAAATGTTTGTAGAGATGTTATAATAATAACACATTTTATTTAAGGCACCTTTCATGACACGGTACAATTTGTTAAAGGTATCATGTCATGCTTTTCCGGTTATCACCCGTCCCCTTGTGTTATAAAGGTTTTTCTGCATGTGAACACTCTGCAGGACACACACACACACACACACACACACACACACACAGCACACACACACACACACACACACACACACACACACACACACACACAGCACACACACACACACCACACACACACACACACACCACACACACACACACACACACACACACACACACCACACACACACACACACACACACACACACACACACACACACACACACACACACACACACACACACACACACACAACACACACACACACACACACACACACACACACACACACACACACACAACACAAGGGCTGTGCGATTATGGCAAAAATCATAATCACGATTATTTGGTCAATAATTGATATCACGATTATTTTGACGATTATTCATTGACCATTTATTGAACTTTAAAACAAATAATATTTTACCAATAAACAAGATCAATAAATATGTTGGAGCGCACTTCCAAAACCATACTAAACATATATTAATATGATAAATAAAAATAAATTAGACCCAAATAAATGAAATCAAACATGTTGCAGTGCACTGGCACAACCTACTGAAAACTCCTTAACATATAGCCAACATTTTGGTAAAACATATTCCACTCAGTTAAACGTTGAAGGCTGGCCAACCGTCATGGTCCAGAAGTAACAGGAAATAAATGTTGAACTACAATTTAAGACCAAATAAAAATGTTTAGGCCACCATGGTCACACCATGCTGGTAGGGCTGCTCGTGTCATCTCTTAAAGATGTTTTGCAAGAAACACCAGCCTGTTTACATGGTCTGGTTTCAGAGATGAGCGCAGGCAGGTGACGATATTGCCACCTGTACTGAAGACCCTCTCTGAAGAGGAACTTGTGGCAGTGCTGCCACATATGACACAGGAACAAAGAAAAGACTCTGAACCCTTTCTTTGCCATTATATAAAAATAGTGTTGCTACAAAAGTATAAATTAGGCTTACTAATAAGACAACTCAGATCTGAAGCTACACAGTAATCTGCTGCAGCAACAGTGCAATAAAAAAGACAACATTAATAGAATCAAACCCATTTTTTGTTGCATTTTATTAGAGTATAAAAAGAAATGCCTTTAAAATAGGATGCAAGCAACACTAGTTTCTGAACTGATAGACTATAATCAATTTAAACAGAACAGATCTTAATGTTTGCATTCTTATACCATTTTGTACAATAATTATCATGAATAAATTCAAACAAACTAAAACTTACAGCAGATTAATAACGGTATCTAAATTGAGTTTTTATTATATCAAAAACCTGTTGAAATGCTGCTGTTATTTTTACTGTCCCACAAAAGCGCGTCGGCAGCCTCCAGGAATGCTTCTTTCACAACTTCGCCGTCTTCGAAAGACTTCATGTGTTTCGCAAGAACACTGACTTTCAGGCCCCTCCCCTTTTGGAGCGTAGGGCAGAATTAGGAGGGAATTCCGTCTCGTAGCGTTTGTGCACTGTTTTGAAATGCCGCTCCTAAATTACCCTTCTTCGATAAAGCCACGCTCGCATTGCAGATGAGACAGATGGACTTTGAATTGGAATAGATACAAAAATAATGACCCTCCCACTTGGAGTGCAAATTATATATTTTGGGCTTTTTTGCTTCTGCCATAATTGCGGTCTTGTGTGTGTGCGGACTGTCACTCCTGTTGACCATCCATGCTGTTGACACGACAACGTCAGCGAACTAGTGCACTGCTCACCAGCCACGCCCGGACACATGGGGTGAGGCCGGCCAATCACAAAGCTTTGATGCGTTCAAGTGCATTATTCTGGCACAGGAAGATTATGTTATAGGACATTAACGATAAAACAGAATATTGTTGTTCTATTTTTAGACACATCTCGCGATCGACTGGGAATCTCCCCGCGACCCTTCTTTTTAACGAGTTGCTGCTCTTGTTCTGACATCTTCGCTTGCGCTGAACACTCACAACACATGTCACTCCCACGTGGCCGAGTGGGCTTTTAGGGAGGGGCGAAAGCGCACCCAGCAAAATAATCGTATTTTGTCAATTATGCTGTTTTCATAATCGTCGCAAACCATAATCGTAATCGCGATTAAAATACGATTAATTGCACAACACACACACACACACACACACACACACACACACACACACACACACACACACACACACACACACACACACACACACACACACACACACACACACACACACACACACACACACACACACACACACACACACACACACACACACACACACACACACACACACACACACACACACAACACACACACACACACACACACACACACACACACACACACACACACACACACACACACACACACACACACACACACACACACACACACACACACACACACACACACACACACACACACACACACACACACACACACACACACACACGACGCCCTGTGTAAACAATGAGCAGCTCCGGTGTTTCAGGTAAATAACCTTCTTAGGTAAGAATTGCAAATACAACTGATTACAGCGAACACAAAACAATATCTGCGTGGATCAGGCCTAACGGGAAGAATCGGACTGAGACAGGACTGCACTGTAGGACACAGCCAAGCTAGAGGATTTATTTTTTAATCGAGAGCGACAGGAGTTATCTTTAGTTAGGTTTCATTTTCAAACAGCATCCAAGCATAAATACAAAGTCCTGTCAACATAGTTGTTGGCAGAGTGGGCTGATCTCTGGCAGTTACAGAAGGAACCACAGAGAGGTCATTGGCAGAGGGAAAGCATGCATGTCAAATGAGTCACTTTATTCTCACTGAAGCTCATGCTTGATATGCAACTCTATCCTTAACGCGCGTGGACACTTTAAACCATTATGCTGATTTAATAGATACAATATAATAGAAAACGCCCAATTGCCCTCAAAAAGATAAACATGTCCAAACTCATTACCCTGGTCTGCTGGAGGCCATTATAAATCATTTGACACTTTTTAAGATTGCTATGCATCAGTGTAATGAAATGGATCTGATTTTAGGGAGTGGTGTTAGTTACTAAGTAGATTAGTTACTAAGTAGATTAGTTACTAAGTAGATTAGTTACTAAGTAGATTTCCATTTGTTCTCCTCCACTACAGTTCAGAGGTACATGGTGTACTTCTACTCCACTACAATTCAGAGGTACATGGTGTACTTCTACTCCACTACATGTATTTAATACCTTTAGTTACTTCACAGATGTGGATGAATGATGTGAAATATAATCAAGTGTTAATCAGACTTTAGTTCCACCTGGAGTAAATCCACCAGCTACCCTGCAGTATACAAAGCCATTCAAACTAGCTGCACCTTCACCAGCTTTGAGAACACTTTCATGATCAATCATTATAAAACATATCATATATATTATTCTGAAATGGACCAATCTGCACAAAGACTACTTTCACTGTCGCTACTTTCACTATATTTTGATGACAATACTTTTCTACTTTCACTTGAGGAACATTTTGAATGCAGGACTTTTACATGTTACAAGATCTAAGTACTTCTGTCACTTCTGGTTTAAGGCCATACTTTGAGGCTGTATGTAAGATATGATTAGGCAGCAACGTGTGCAATATAACCTTTCATTAACGATGTTAGATTGCATTTAATCCAGATCTTGAGTGACAGTCTGATGTTTGTTGATATGCACTAACGTCATGAACAACACAGAGCTGTTACATAAAGCACGCTTTTAAAAAGTAACACTGTACACAGAATGCTATTTTTGAGTTTAATCTTCAGAAAACGTCTATTTCTCGGTAGGAAGCTTCAAAAAAGATCACGCTTCC